GATATTCTTCTTCCATCATTTATTGTACACTTGGGTGCTATTATTGTTGTTCAGTGGCTCTGTCATGTCCAACTGTTTGTGACCCCATGGACTGCAGCGCACCAGGCCTCCCTGCTCATCACCAAATCCCAGAGCTTGCTCAAATTCATGACCATCATGTCAGTGATGCCATCCAACCATCTCATCCTCTGTCGTCCCCTTCTCCTTCTGCCTTCAGGCTTTCCCAGCATCAGGGTCTTTTCCAATGAGTCAGCTCTTCGCATGAGGTGGCCAAAGGATTGGAGTTTCAGCTTCAGCATCAGTCCTTCCAATGAATATTCAGGACTGATTTCCTTTAGGATGGACTGGTTGGATCTCCTTGCAGTCCAAGGGACTCTCAAGAGTCTTCTGCAACACCACAGTTCAAAAGCATCAGTTCTTCAGTGCTCAGCTTTCTTTATAGTCCAACTCTTACATCCATACATGACTACTGGGTATCTTTCTAGATTAAGTAAAAAAAGAAATTGATAGCTCCATTCTAAATGATGATCAATGTGATTAGCTCATTCAGCTTTTTTGTTTGTTGGTTTCTTTGAAATTTGAAGTTTTTTTTCATCAGTTTAAATTTAAATCAGTTTAATTTAAATCAGAAGTTTAAATCAGTAGCCTAGGAGAAAGTGATTTCAAAACTGTTGATCATCCTAAAACTTGAAAGCCTGAAACACTTGTTAGAACATTCATTTTGATTGCTGTTATTTACTGATTGATTTATAGCTTGAGGCAGTATGTGATCATGACACTTAAAGTTGCAGTTGTCTGTTTGTAGTATTATTTCTCTCCTATTCCCTTCACTGCGTGCTGCAGTCCATGGGATCGCAAAGAGTCGGACACAATTTAATGACTGAATAATTCCTTTCACATGTGGAGGAGAGTTTTGGGGGCTACCTTTTTTTTTTTTTTGGCAAATTTTATTGCTCGGAGAAATAGGAAGTGTTCTATTCTTGTTTGAAGTGTGAGAGAAATGGCTGTCTTTTTCTTTTTAATCTTTGGCTTTTGTTGAAATCATTTTACCTGGCCGGTAGCATGATAAAGAAATAAAGCTTCGGCAAACTCATCCTGCAAAGGTTTCCTCAAATGTTTATATCTAGGTTGTTCTTGTAATTTTCACAGTAGCAGTAGTGTTAGTTGCTCCGTCGTGTCCAACTCTTTGCGACGCCACAGGCTGTAGCCCGCTAGGCTCCTCTGTCCATGGGATTCTCCAGCAAGAATACTGGAGTGGGTAGCCATTCCCTTCTCCAGGGGATCTTCCTGACCCAGGGATCGAATCTGGGTCTCCTAGCATTGCAGGCAGATTGTTTACCATCTACAGGGAAGGTTACTAAAAGAAAATGTTGCCTGTCATTAATGATATTTTGATGTGTTTATTTAAATGCTTCTGATTAGTGGTGATTGGAAAAGAAGCAAGCATGCAATTAAAATAGAACATTAAATTGCATATACTCATGCTAGATTTGACAGATGGAGATTGTGGATTAACAAGAAGATAAATGTAGTTTCTTGATTTTACATACTTTCGTCAGCCTTTTTGGAGAAGGAAATGGCAACCCACTCCAGTATTCTTGCCTGGAGAATCCCACGGCCAAAGGAGCCTGGTGGGCTACAGTCCATGGGGTCGCAAAGAGTCGGACACGACTGAGCGACTCACACACACCCACGTGTATCTCTGCCATTAGTGTTTCAGATGCATGCCTCTTTCTGTAAATGATGTCTGTGTTCTATAAGGTATTTTTTCCACAAGTTGTCAGCATTATGGTTATTTGGCACTGTGGACATCACAGAGGACTGACTTTTTAATACACTGGTGTCTATAGTTGTGAAAATGCAAGTGTGTACATACAATACCTTGTTTTCCTGATTTACATGTTCAGCAATGACAGAAAGATTCACACAATTATTTTGAGGTATTTTTAGCCACATTGCATTGAGCAGTTTTTATATGGATTGAATGCTTGTTGGATGTTTCCGGAATGAGATTACGGAGACTTGTCAGTAGCTGAGCCTCTGTCTGGGAGAAATCCCCAGGTCTTGTAGAGTGGTCCTTCTCTGTCATACGACACTTTTTTCAGATGAAAAAAAAAAAAAATTGCAGGTTATTTTTAAAGCGTGCCATTGATTCATTTTGAGTAGTCTTCAGAAGGAGTTGGGCTAAACATATTTATTAAATGGCTGAGCACCAACTATTTTGGCTAGGAGCCACAGTCCTGAAAAGAATGAAATCAGCTTAGAGGGTAAGGCGTTGAACTTATATTTAGCAAACAAATTAACTCTTTAGGGAGCTTATAAAATATGTAAGGTGGACAAGTGTTTAAACTGTTTCATTTACATTTTTAAATTACTTCATTACTGTTAGAAAATGGTATTCTTTTAGAATTGCTGTATTGACAAAAATCTATACATTTGTTTCAGAACGTACTTGGGAGAGGTGAACACTAATAAACTTGGGACAAGCTTATACAGATCTTGGAAAAGCATTGATGAGCTCAACAATTTTTTTCATTAAGTCACCAAGAATGAATCTTTTATATTCAGTATTGAAGAATATAAAATCTAGAATATTCTTGGAAGAAATAGCTTGCCCCTTGAAGTCTGCATGGAACAAGAAAGAAACTTGTCATCAAATCCTATAGCAGTTTTTTTTACCCCCAGCTTTATTGAGATATAATTGACATATATAACATTGTGTAAGTTTAGGGTATGTAGTGTGAGATTGGATACATGTATTGGGAAATGTTTACCCCACTAACGTAGTTCTTCTTAAAGATCAGTGTCAGCACCTGAGATTTCCAGGCGAAATTGCTGAAAGAGGATCTTGGGTTTTGATCCCAGAGATCTGACTCTGTTGGTGTAGGGCCTGGCCACTGGCTTTCGTTTCTGATAACCTGAAAGGTGATACTTATATTACTGGTTACTGATCACACGTTGAGAGCAGTCCTATCACAGACTGACAGTTGATACAGTCAGTAGTTTGTTTTCACATAGGCAGTTTTGAATATATGAAAGCTCTGAAATAATCATGAGCTTATGGGAGCCATAAGCATACTAATCTTTAGATAACTGGCATTTGACCAGACATAATGAATATTTAATAATTGATAAGTTAATAATTAAATGTTGTATTGAATATATTTTGAGAGTCATATATCCATTCATATGACAGTATCATTTTCATTTCAATCATGAGGCCTGATTAATGTCTCTTCTTCATTTTGATATATAGATATTGTATATTTTATGTGTTATATAAGCAAAGTATATATAACAAACTGCATCTACGTATATATATACATTGTTTATTCCATAATATTATTATTTCTTATTAAAATTGTTGCTGAACAATGGATCCTGGCTATTATCTTTGATTTATTAAATCATGTGTATAAATCACAGTTAACAGTTCAGTTCAGTTGAGTCGCTCAGTCGTGTCTGACTCCTTGCGACCCCATGGACTGCAGCACACCAGGCCTCCCTGTCCATCACCAACTCCCAGAGTTTGCTCAAACTCACGTCCATCGAGGCGATGGTGCCATCCAACCATTTCATCCTCTGTCGGCCCTTTCTCCTGCTGCCTTCAATCTTTCCCAGTAAATTATGGGAATAGTAAATTATGTATATCATATATATATATATATATATATATATATATATATATATCCACACTTGATTCTGAAACTCTCATGGCAGAATCTCATATTCAGATTGATTCAATATATTTTAATAGAGTAACTAACCTGGGTAATCCTCAGTGCTGCTGGGATCACTGAGATAAAGACATAAATTAACAATAATGTGTGTGATATTTACACACACACACACACACACACACACACACACACATACACACACATATGTACGGGCTTACCTGGTAGCTCAGCTGGTAAAGAATCCACGTACAATGCAGGAAACCCCAGTTCGATTCCTGGGTGAGAACGATCCCCTGGAGAAGGGATAGGCTACCCATTCCAGTATTCATGGGCTTCCCTGCTGGCCCAGATGGTAAAGAATCCACCTGCAATGTGGGCGACCTGGGTTCAATCCCTGGGTCAGGAAGATCCCCTGGAAAAGGGAACAGCTGCCCACCCCAGCATCCTTGCCTGGAGAATCCCACGGACAGAGGAGCTGGGCGGGCTGCAGTCCATGGTGTCGCAAAGAGTCAGACACGGCTGAGCGACTAAGCATGCACACCCACACACACACACACACACACACATCGAACCCGGGTGTCCCGCATTGCAGGCAGATTCTTGACAAGCTGAGCCACGAGGAAAGCCCAGATGTATACATGCACAGACTTAATGCAATGCTTCAGTCATTTACAGAAGCGCCTTCAGAAAATAGCCCGGTGTCGTCCACTTAAAAGCCAGCTACTGGTAAAGTTGATGAGGAAAAAAAATTCATCTGGTAACAACCCCGTTTGGAAAATCAATTTGATTCACTCAAAGTAAATATCCACGCTGCTGTGCCTGACGGTGGCTGTCACTATTTGTCTTGCCTGTCACCTCAGACGGGGCAGCTTACCTGCCGACCGTGTGGACACAACCCTCTTTCTTCCCAGCTCTATACGACGCTCAGGTTCCTAGTGAAGGGAAGTCGCTCAGTCGTGTCCGACTCTTTGCAAGCCCATGGACTGTAGCCCACCAGGCTCCTCCGTCCATGGGATTCTCCAGGCAAGAATCCTGGAGTGGGTTGCAATTTCCTTCTCCAAGGGGTCTTCCCAACCCAGGGATCAAACTCGGGTCTCCCGCATTGCAGGCAGATGCTTTACCATCTGAACCACCAGGGGAGTCCCATCAGCTTCCCAGGATGCACATTTAAGATGGGGTGAGCTTCAGCTGAATCTCCCAGAGTCACTCGGAAATGCTGGCGCTGAGGAGTCTGGGGCATGCACAGGTGGGGTGCCTTTCCTCTGGGGCCTTGTTCGTCACCTGTGTCCACTGATCGGTCTTCACCCTTCTCTCTCCCAGTGCCTGGAGCCCTGCAAGCTGTCCTGGGACCTGCGGAAGCAGCAATGCCAGAGCTTCTGCGAGGTAAGGGGCGTGCATGCGGCCACAGGCTGAGCTGTGGGCCGGGGAGTTCCTGGGCACTCAGCGAGGGCATCGTGTCCTTCTGGGGCCGGGAGGCTCGCTTTACTTCTGCGGTGTGTGTGTGTGTGTGTGTCTGTGTGTGTGTCAATTCAGAGTCTTCAAAATTGTTCAGACTTCTGAAAACCCAGGTGGCAGTACTGGTCAGGAACCCCACCTGCCAACGCAAGAGACTTAAGATACGTGGGTTCGATCCCTGGGTCGGGAAGATCCCCTGCAGAAGGGAAAGGCTACCCTCTCCAGTATTGTGGCCTAAAGAACTCCGTGGACAGTCCATGGGGTCGCAAAGACTCGGACACAACTGAGCGACTTGCACTTCAGTTCCCTTCACTCGCGTTTTCTGCGTGGCGGGGTTCTCAGACCATTTGATCTTCCTCTGGGCTGCCCACATGCCCGGGCTGAGACTGGCCCACATTTTCCTGTGCAGAAGGCACCTTCCTTTCCCCATGCTCTCAGTTAGATAACAGAGCACTCCTGTCCTGGGCAACTACTGTCTAAACTCACCGCTTGTGCCAAAGAAAGAGGGTGCTGCTTTGCGGCACCGTATCCTCCAGGGCAGGGAGAAGACTTGAGATCCCCTTGGACTGCAAGGAGATCCAACCAGTCCATCCCAAAGGAAAGCAGCCCTGAAGATTCATTGGAAGGACTGAGGCTGAAGCTCTAGTACTTTGGCCACCTGATGCGAAGAGCTGACTCACGGGAAAACACCCCGATGCTGGGAAAGATTAAAGGCGGGAAGAGAAGGGGACGACAGAGGATGAGACGGTTGGATGGCATCACCGACTCGACGGACATGAGTTTGAGACAACTCTGGGAGATGCTGAAGGAGAGGGAGGCCTGGCGTGCTGCAGTCCATGGGGTTCCAAAGAGTCAGACGTGACTTAGCAGCTGAACAAGAGCAATTCTCCAGGGCAGACCAGGGGCCCTGCTGTGAAGCAGAGGGGCTGACCACACGGTGGCCACTCAGTGTAAGGGGAGTCAGAAGGTCCACGAGGACCTCGAGGATGTGAGTTGGGCCCGTCCACCATAGGAAGCAGAGCAGCACCGTGGACTGGGTGGGCAGGGAACCAGAGACGTGCCTGAGTTGTCCCCTACCATGTGAGTGTGGCTCTGTTGCCTGAGTTTCAGCTCAGAGGGCACACAGACTGTGTCCTGAAGACATGCCTATGGACCTGGCACCTTCACAGCCCCTGCAGTTTTACGGTCCCTGAGATACATCCACGTTCCCGAGGCCATCTGACCTTCTGATGGACGTGAAGGTCATCGGAGCTGTGTGTGAAGCGTGCAGGAGTGGAGGCTGGAAATTTTCCAGCCCTTGGGCTCACCCGCTGCAGACGCCCAGAAAGTGAAAGTGAAAGTCGCTCAGTCGTGTCCGACTCTTTGCGACCCCGTGGACTACACCGTCCATGGAATTCTCCAGGCCAGAATACTGGAGTGGGTAGCCTTTCCCTTCTCCAGGGCATCTTCCCGACCCAGGAATCGAACCCAGGTCTCCTGCATTGGCAGGTGGATTCTTTACCACCTCAGCCACCTGGGAAGCCTTCAATTTAATGCATGTTTATATTACATGCCCCTTGTTGCCTGACAGATTACCCTCAAACTTAGTGGCTGGCTGAATGCAACACCCGAATCTTGTTTTGTTTGCTTTTTTAAAATATATGTATTTTATTGAAGTATAGTTGACTTACAGTGTTTCAGGTTCCCAACTGATTCAGTTATACATATACACATACATTATTTTTCATATTATTTTCCATCATAGGTTATTAAAAGATATTGACTACAGATCCCTGTGCTATACACTTTTGTTGCCTATTGCATATTTTTTTTTTAAATTAGAAATCTAACATCCTGTTCATGAGCACCCGTCTGTCATCCCACTGTTTCTTTGGGTCAGGAGCTTGGGTGGAGCTTCATTGCATGTCTGCCTAGCATCTGTTGTGGTTAAAGTCAAGGCATTGGCTGGGGTGCCTTCTCAGCCAGGGGCTCGACTGTGGGAGAAGTCTGCCATCAACTCATCACAGTTGTTGGCAGGATCCGTTTCCTTGCAGGGGTGGGACTTGTGGGCCTGTCGCCTTGATGACGCGTGGCTGGGGTCCACTCTGAGCTCCTGGAAGGTGCCTGAGATACCTCCCTGTGTGGCCCCCATCAGCGGCAGATCACAAAATGGCTTTTAGCAGAATCCTCATCTTTAGCCTGCTGAGACAGAATTTTATGTCATGCAACATAATCTCAGCAGTGACAGTGCTTCACCTCGGCCGTGTTCTGTTGATTAGAAGTGTACACACACACACACACACGGGGAGGTGATGACATCAGGCAGGTTATGACTCAGTGAGGCTCACCCTGCGCCCTGTCTATTCGAGAGTCTAATCAGTGGTTTGGTCACTAAGCCCTGTCCAACTCTTGTGATCCCATGGGCCTGGCGGGCTGCAGTCCACGAATACCGGAGTGGGTTGCCAGGTCCTCCTCCAGGGCATCTTCCCGACCCAGGGATCGAACCTGGGTCTCCTGCATTGCAGGCGGCTTTTTTACAGACTGAGCTACCAGGAAAGCCCATGTCTAATACAGAAGGAGATAAAAAGAGGGGATTCAGGTCTCTTGAGACACAGAACAGACCGCACTGATCAGAAATGGAACTCAGCAAATCAAAGCAATGAGTTAGTGCAGAGACCAGGGGTGTGAGGCCACCTCTGCGTGCCCTACGTTCTGTTCTATTCTGTACACAAACCGCACATCTATAGGAACTAAAACGTGGGGCTGGCAAGTCTAGAGGAACAAGATGTGCTATTCACTTGAGAAACACATTATCCATTAACATCCCTGAGTCTGGGTAAGTAGGTTTATGTCAGATCCCTGAAACGGGAAATGCACCTGCAAGTCATTTGAAACCTTTCTCCGTGACATTTCAGACGTGATAGTGGGCTTCTGTGAATCTCGTTCTGTCTGAAATAACCGTGCAGGACTTCTGAACCACGTCTGGTTTAATAAAATGAGACTGGAAGCCTGCACACCACAACTAGCATTGGACCCCACTAGGCACAGCTAAGCAAGCCCATGAGGCAGCAAAGACCCAGCACAGCCAAAAATATATATATTTTTTAAAATGGGATGTGTGTACGAATTGTGATATGCTGTGGCAGAAAGGTTCGTTGAAGCTTGAAAGGTGGGGAAAAGAGAGGCTACTTAACGTGAGGAACTTTGTAGAGAGCTCCTAGCCCAATGGTCCAAAAGCTCAAGCCTTAATATTCAACTTTAGTTGCTTTGATTGTTCTTATTTCTGGTTGTTGTTGTTGTTATTGTGTTTTTTTTTTTGGTCCTGTTTTATTGTGCTATAAATGTCTGACTGTTTTGCTTACTGAGATTGAATCCTGGAAGGACCCACTCCTATTTCAGTGTTTTCAAGGCTAGGCATTCATTGACAACACTTGTCCATCCTCCTGGTTATTACATTTTGTGTTAAGAAGGTATCCAGGTTCCATATTGTCAAGAACCTTGGCTTTCCCTTTGTAAGAGTCTGAACCCAGGTGACTCCAGATTTTAGTTTTCTACGGCAGAAACAACTAGACAATTAGAGATATTTGGTCCAGTGTATTCACTTGTAAAATGGTCCAAGCTGTATCTTCAAAGGTGTGAGCTTGCAAACCACACCCGAAAGAGCAAAACCAGTCTGTCCCTTGCCTTTGTAAATCAGGTTTTATTGGAACGTCGTCAGAACAGTTTTTTTGTTTTTTTTAATGTGTTATCTACGACTGCTTTTGTCTTACAACAGCAGAGTTGGGTAGTTGCAACGTGTCATGTGGCCCATAAAGCTGAAACTTGGGCAAAAATCTGGCCCTTCGCAGAAAGTATGTTCCACTTTCTGAACAAAGTCACTCAGTCGTGTCCGACTCTTTGCAGCCCCATGGACTAGAGCCTGCCAGGCTCCTCCTCCGTCTGTGGGATTCTCCAGGCAAGAGAACTGGAGTGGGCTTGCCATTTCCTTCTCCAGGGGATCTTCCTGACTCAGGAATCGAACCTGGGTCTCCTGCATTGTAGGCAGACGCTTTTACCGCCTTCTGACCCAGCAGGGAAGAACCACAAGGCATCATGATACCCACACAACCCCCCTATGCAGTCAGACTGCCATCCTGTCTTCATCTGTATCACCAGCACCCAAGTCTAAACGTAAAGCATCGTTCTTGGTCATTTTGGTCTTAGAATTATCCTGCATGGAAAAGATTTTCAGGGGCATCTTGTTTGTTTGTTTTTTGGCTTCGCTAGGTCTTCATTGCTGGGCGCCAGGGTTCACCAGCTGCAGCGAGGAGAAAATACTGTTTGTTTGTGGTGTGGTGCAAGGATTTTCATTGCGGTGGCTTCTCTTGTTGCAGAGCATGCGGGCTCTGGAGCACAGACTCACTAGCGGTGGTGCACAAGCTTAGGTGCACAAGCTTAGTTGCTCTGTGGCATGTGGGATCTTCCCGGCCCAGGGAATGGAACCCATGACCCCTGCATTGGCAGGTGAACTCCTAACCACTGGACCACCAGGGAAGCCCCCAGGGGCATAGATAGATAATAACATACCTAGAACCGATTCATCACCTTCTCATATACTAACTCTTCAGATTATGGATACACTTCTGCTTTTGCTACCGTTTCAGGCTACAGGCAAAGCCAACAATCTTATTTTTTAACCAAAAAAAGTTAAATGTATTGGGACAGGAATCTTTCAGGACTCTTTCTGTGGGTCATAACGTATGACTTCTCATGTTTATGAAATATGTTGTTTTCTTTGCCACAATAGGTACATGGATAGATGGCGCTTTGTTGCCTGAGTTATTAACTATTATTCCCTTCCTCTTACTTTCATAAAATCCTAGATGAGATGGCTGGATGGCATCACCGACTCGATGGGCATGAGTTTGAGTAAACTCTGGGAGTTGGTGATGGACAGGGAGGCCTGGCCT